CATTTTGAGGGTTGCCCTGTGGACTTTTGCAGTAAAACTTCCAAACTTTTTGAATTGTTTAAGTTGAAAATGGGTTTTGTCTCTCCTGTGTGCAGTGTCTTTAAGTGAAAGCACTTAGGATTGCTGTGTTTGAAGTATTCTCAGAAAGTTGTAATCAAACTACTCCAGAGCTAGCTTCGACCGTCAATTAGTCTTGACATCTCTTCCCCTGTGCCACTCCATGATAAGCATTCTGCAGAAGAAACCCTTTTACTTGGATCATCCATATGAATGGCCTGTACCTTCTGGCTGCATCTCCTCCCCTGTGGAGGATGCAGAGGGCAGACCACTGCTTCACAAAAGCATCTTCTTCAGAACCTTGAAATGCAGCAAATAAAATATACTTTTCTCTGGCTTTGGCATTTTCCCCCCCTTTTGAGACAGAGTCTTGCTCTGCTGGAGTGCAGTGGCGCAATCTTGGCTCACTGCAACCTCCTCTTCCCAGGTTCAAGCGATTCTCCTGCCTCAGTCTCCCCATTAGCTGGGATTACAGGCATGCACCACCATGCCCAGCTATTTTTTTTTTTTTTTGTATTTTTAGCAGAGACAGGGTTTCATCCATGTTGGCCAGGCTGGTCTCGAACCCCTGGTCTCAAGTGATCCACCCATCTTGGCCTCCCAAAGTGCTAAGATTACAGGCATAAGCCACCACACCCAGCCATCTCTACTTTTTTTGGTAGCAAAATTTTTAAAGGAATGACAGTGACACTAGATAGTAGTGCATATACACATGTGCATATGTGCCTGTGTGTTTATGTATGTGCCCATGTGTGCTCCCCTGATTGTTTTAGCCTACATATATGTAGATCTTATGCAGAAAGGACAACAGAGTACAATCTTCCACCCCATTCAAGGGAGCAAGTTTAACTCCAAAACTCCAACAACTCTATCAATAATGAGCTACGCACCAGCAGCCAGTCAGCCTCCATATGGGAAAAGAGCCAATGGAGTTATTTCAGCCACCTGCATGATCAATATCAGCTGATGTAGCTGAATGCATTAGGTTTGCTGGCCACTTTTCTTGTTGAAAGCAAAAATGAACAGGCTGATATAACACAGCTTCTTCGTTTCTACAACAATGGGCTCTAAAAGTTACAAGGGTTCCCTTCCTGTATTCAGGCTGCGTTGTCCTCCTAAAGCTCTCTAGTCTTCAGAAATCAGCTCAAGATTGATTTACTCCAGAAAGCCCACCCTGATAGATCTCCTCTCAACTATGACTATTGCATTATTTGATGTCCCTTCAGTCCAACTGCGCTGTAAGAACTCGGGAAGATAATCATTTTAGGTAACTGAGTTTTCTTCCTAGTTGAAGATTTACATGTTCGATTACCCAGACTTTTAAATTGTTTATGTTGGGGATGATAGTAAGAGGAGTAGAAAATAAATACATTAATTGCATATGGAAATAATTACTCATTTTTTTTTTGTTTTGCCTTCTTAATCAGAGTTTATGAAACAAACTTGATCTTCCTTGATAGTGATCAATATCTTAGCCCGGGTTCTCCAGAGGGCAGGACTTGAAGCAAAAGCTTGTGTGCTATTATTTTATAAACAAAGCTCAAATCCAGAGAAAGAAAAGATTACATATAAAATATATGTCTACTTGTTAATAATATAAAATTAATATTAAATATATCAATTCATTAAAATAATAAACCTATTACATGCTAAATAAATTACATATTTTTAGGAAAAAACTGTATTTTTCAATGCAACGAAAAGATGGAGTGTGAAGAATGGCACAGTGTGATATCTTTGCTGATCTCCTAGATGTCTGGCTTTATGAGAGGCAGCTGGATTCTTGTATCTGCTGCTGCAGGCGGTCTGTTGCCATATATTGTTTTGGTTGAAGTCTATAAAAAAGTCTGTCTCACACAGATGTGTAGTTGGACAAGAGGACCTTACAGACCCTCTGAAAGGGTCTTGGGGATCCCCTGACCAACAGTCTTTGGACTACATTTTAGAACTACTGACCTTAGCTTCCTAGAGGTGAGTTTTGAAGAATGAATAAAAGTTGGCTAGGTATAAAAAAGGATGAAATGATGGCAACCACAGCAACCTGGGTGGAACTGGAGACTATCACTCTAAGTGAAGTGACCCAGGAATGGAAAACTAAACATCGTATGTTCTTGTTCACATGAGGAAGCCAAGCTATAAGGACGCAAAGGCATAAGAATGATACACTACTAGACTTGGGGTATTTGGGGGAAAGTGTTGGGGGTGGCGAGGGGTAAAAGACTCCACATTAACTACAGTATACACTGCTCAGGTGATCAGTGCACCAAAGTCTCAGAAATCTCCACTAAAGAAGAGATTCATGTCACCAAATATCACCTGTTCCCCAAAAACAGACTGAAATAAAACATTAAAAAATTGGCCAGGTGCAGTGGCTCACGCCTATAATTCCAACATTTTGGGAGGTCAAAGCGGGCAGATCACCTGAGGTCAGGAGTTTGAGACCAGCCTGGCCAACATGGTAAAACCTCATCTCTACAAAAAATACAAAATTAGCCAGGTGTGGTGACACAAGCCTATAGTCCCAGATACTCAGGAGGCTGAGGCAGGAGAATCACTTGAACCTAGGAGGCAGAGGCTGCAGTGAGTTAAGATCGTGCCATTGCACTTTAGCCTGGGAGACAAGAGTGAAAACAAAACAAAAAAATAAAATAATTAAAATGTAGAAAACAATTGGCTAGGCGAAAAACATAATAACATTCCAAGTCAGTGCTTCTCAAAACCATTATTGTAGACAGACATTATTGTGCATTCAAACCACCTGGGGTCTGGAGTGGGGCATGAGATCCTGCATTTCTAACAAGCTCCCGGGTGACACTGATGCTGCTGGTCCTGGAACTACACTTCCAAAGAAACATGAGCAAAGGCACAGCATCATGACATAGGCTGAAGTGTGAGGGGAATGGCATTAGTAGGAAGTGAGGTACAAAACAGAAGTACCAAGAGATAGGGCAACCATGGCCATAGCACTGAGATAAGAGTTGCAATTTTTCCCAAGAGGAAGTTATTAAAAGGTTTTATGCAGGAGACAGCTTTGATTCATAATTAAGCAAACACAATTTCTTATTCTGAATAACTCAGAAATGAAATAAAATATAAAACATACAAGCAAAGTAAGCAGGCAACTGGGTGAAGTGGAGGAAGAAGAAAGACATTATTCCCTCTGAATATTATGACAGTGTAACTCGGTACGAAGAGCATGTGCTTTGGACCAACACAGAGTTGGGTTTAGATTCCAATTCTACCATTTACAAAATATTACTGACTCAACTTCTCAGAGCCTCAGGTTGTACCGTGCATAGAGATAAGGAAGAGAACTTTTATATGCACATAAAAGTGTCTGGTGCACAGTAGGTCCTCAATACACTAAAATCAATATGACAAAGAATGTTATAGAAATAGTAAAAAATAACAACTTGAAGCTGTTATTGTTATTCCAAGAGTTGATGCAGACTTATACTGGGCTTATTAGAATTTTAAATTTTCCAGAGTAAAAAGATTCTGAAAGAGTATCTGAGGGGCATCACTTCAAAGTAAATGTTTTGCCTATTTATATGCAAGGCAATGCCAGCTCATAATACTCCACAGTAACGGAGGAGATGGGGACACATTAGATGCTGGTGACAATTAGAAGAGAAAGACCTCAGTCAGGTACGGTGGCTCACACCTGTAGTCCCAACACTTTGGGCAGGTGAGGTGGGTGGATCCCTTGAGAACAGCCTGGGCAGCATGGCAAAACCCTGTCTCTATTAAAAATACAAAAATTAGCTGGGTGTGGTGGTACACGCCTGTAGTCCTGGATACTTGGGGGCCGAAACAGGAGGACTGCTTGAGCCTGGGAGTTCGAGGCTGCAGTAAGCCCTGTTCATGCCACTGCACTCAAGCCTAGGTGACAAAGTGAAACCCTGTCTCAAAAAAAAAAGAAAAAAAAAAAGAGAGAGAGAGAGAGAGAGAGAGAGAGAGACTTAAACCTGAGACCCCTCAAGTTAATCATCCCTTCCTCTAATACAACTTGTACCCAAACTTTCAATACGAAGTTTGAATGGTTTAAATCTTGGTCCCCCATACCCTGGTAGTTGGTATAGTTAATAATTAGCAAAGACACAAAGGGTGCAAAGATGCAAAGGGCACAAAGAAAAATAAATGCATTATCATATAGAGCCACCACAGCTATGAATCTCCACCTGCCTGAGCTCCCACATTAGAATGTGTTTCCGAATTTCAATTCCTCTTTTTCTCTGGAAACACTTGACCTTCAGGATCCAAAAGGTCCCTCAGGATCCAGAAATCCCCTCACCACCACCTGGGATTCTGAGACTCTTAACATCACATTTTTGTCCTAAAATGTTTTACAGTCATATATGACATGTAACTCTCAGTACTTTACAGCAAATATTGGCCCTCTGATTGTAAGAGAAAGCTTTCATTATCACAAAAATCCATGTTCTTAGTGGGGCAGAACTAGTTGGGCAAAATTTGAAAGTCACTGATAGACGACAGACAGACACAGAGATAGATGATAGATAGATAGATAGATAGATAGATAGATAGATAGATAGATAGATAGATAAGCTTTCAAATTCTGCCCAACTAAGAACCATATATGCATATGTAGTTTCTCCAAATCTCTTTATAGTTAGGACATCTGAGTAATTGCTTTTCTTTTCTTTGAAATGGAAGACTGGTAAGAGTAGGTTTATAAAGAAAGTCAAATGACAGAAGAGCCAGCACACTCCAGTTGAGTCAATAAGAATGTTTTGTTTGTTTGTTTTTATGAGACAGACTCTCATAAATCTCAAGTACAATCTCGGCTCACTGCAACCTCTGTCTCCTGGGTTCAAGCAATTCTCCTGCCTCCACCTCCCAAGCAGCCTCCCAGCTGGGATTACAGGCACCCGCCTCCACACCCAGCTAATTATTGCATTTTTAGTAGAGACTGGGTTTTGCCATGTTGGCTGGGCTGGTCTTGAACTCCTGACCTCAAGTGATCCACCCACCTCAGCCTCCCAAAGTGAATGAGCATGTTTTGACAAATCACATTGTCTCAGCACTAGTATTCTTTTATTCTGTGTGTCAGATATGTTATTGTTTCATAGGAAAACAGGCAGTGTGAAGAGAAGTAAGTGACTTGGACAGGGACCCTGTCCACAGTCAATTTCTAGCAAGAATTTTCTTCAGCTGGTAGGTTGACAATGATTTCTTTGGTGTCTCTTTCATTGGGAATTCATCCCTTTTCATCTTTGTAATTTTCATATTTTAGACTAAGAATTTGACTCTTAGACTACTCTTTGCAGTGAGATGTCTTTCCCTAAGAAGATAGCTAGCCTATGTTTTACCTTTTCTTTTTTTTAATTTTTTGAACCCATGAAAGCATTTCTTTAAGAAGAGCACAAAGGGGAGAATGTGAACTTCTAATTTCCAAAGTGGGATTACATCAAATATCTAGACACTGGCTCTCCATCAGGAACCCCTGCCTCTGGCCACCTACCTTTCAGGTAGGTGGCTCTGAGTGGCACTCTGCAACTTGTCTGGTCAACGTGATACTTCCCACTGTCAGCCTAGGATACCTAGGGAGGGAAGGCTGGATGTCTGAGCGTCTACTCACAGTCCCTCTCACTCTGTGATAAAAGCTCAGCGATTCCTGTTGATAATAACAAAAAAATTATAGAATGTCTAGAAATAAACCAAAAAAGAAACATGTAAGACCTACACATAGAGAATTTTTAACGTTTACTGAGATATATAAAAGAAGTCTTAACTGAGAATAAACTCTGTTCTTGAAGAATGAGCGCTATCAGGGGAACGCCCTCACTCTGCCAGTGACAAAGAACCATCACTTCATGCAGACTCCTTCAAGAACCTCATTCTATCATTCCCTCCGAAATTGTGAATCCCCTTTGGTTCTTAATATCATCATCTACTACAGTGTCGCTTTCATATACAAATTTGGGAGTCCCTGGCTATTTCATAAGTGTGTGCCTTTTCTTTCCAATTAAATTAGAAGATATATAAAGGCAAGGACTATCTCTTTTTTCCCCTTTGTATCTTTCATACCCCTCATTATAGAAATGCCTCTGCTTATAAATTTTCCATTTAAGGAAGTTCACAGGTATGAACAAAGCAAGGTGGAGAAAGCCTTCAACCTTTTTACCTATCATCAGCAGATGGTATTAGTGGCCACAAGCAAGCATTTGGCCACACTTTGTTCATTAGTCAGGGGTGTGTTCGCTGGGTTTGTGCTCAGTTCTGAGATGTTTTATGAACGGCAGTAACATCATCAGTTAGAAAAGTAAAAAAGTAGTGAGTGTCTTTAAGATGCTGCTAAAAAGAAGCACATAATTAGGATAAAAACAAAAGTAAAAATGGTTTTTCAAACTGAAAGTCATGAGAGAACGCCAAGCTTTGCAGGGGGCTCATGGCACAGCAGGAAGAACTCTTAAGGCTAAGGAGTGAATAGGGATCAGTGAGGAAGGAACAGGGATTGGCAAAATGAAAAAGGAAACTTTCTGAGGCTGCAGCTAAAGGTTAGCGACAATTAACTTTCACATGTATTAACTAACTTAGTCACGCAATAATTTCGTAAGGTAGATATCATCATTACCCTCTGGGCCTAAACTTTGTTAATGCTGGTGAAGGCCAGGAGTTTATGAGGGAACTTAAGCCTAAGCACAGTGAAATGGCTGTTGCTGACATGTCCACTGTAAGCCAAGGGTGGCTCCATGAGTTCCAGGTTGCTGAGTTTGGAGACCACCCAAATCAGTAGAACATCAGCTGGTCGGGAAGTGGCAGATGAAGGTACTGTAGACATCCGAAGTCCACACTGGGGGAAAGCATTTAATAGAATGTAGGGAAGAGACAAGTACTCCTGGTTTTAAGCTTTGATGGGACTACTTATGTTTTTTGTTTTGTTTTTAATTACACTTTAAGTTCTGGGACACATGCACAGAATGTGCAGGTTTGTTACATAGGTATACACATGCCATGGTGGTTTGCTGTACCCATCAACCTGTCAACTGCATTAGGTATTTCTCCTAATGCTATCCCCACCTAGCCCTCCACCCCTGATAGGCCTGGTGTGTGATGTTCCCCTCCCTGTGTCCATGTGTTCTTATTGTTCAACTCCCACTTACAAGTGAGAACATGGTTTTCTGTTCCTGTGTTAGTTTGCTGAGAATGATGGTTTCCAGCTTCATCCATGTCCCTGCAAAGGAAGTGAACTCATCCTTTTTTATGGTTGCATAGTATTCCATGGTATGTATGTGCCACATTTTCTTTATCCAGTCTATCATCGATGGGCATTTGGGTTGGTTCCAGGTCTTTACTATTGTGAACAGTGCTGCAGTAAACATATGTATGCATGTATCTTTATAGTAGAATGATTTATAATCCTTTGGGTATATATCCAGCAACAGGATTGCTGGGTCAAATGGTATTTCTGGTTCTAGATCCTTGAGGAATCACCACACTGTCTTCCACAATGGTTGAACTAATTTACACTCCCACCAATCGTGTAAAAGCTTTCCTATTTCTCCACATCCTCTCCAGCATCTGTTGTCTCCTGACTTTTTTTTGATCGCCATTCTAACTGGCGTGAGATGGTATCTCATTGAGATTTTGATTTGTATTTCTCTAATGACCAGTGATGATGAGCTCTTTTTCACATGTTTGTTAGCTACATAAATGTCTCCTTTTGAGAAGTGTCTGTTTATGTCCTTTGCCCATTTTTTGATGGGGTTGTTTTTTTCTTGTCAATTTATTTAAGTTCTTTGTAGATTCTGGACATTAGCCCTTTGTCAGATAGATAGATTGCAAAAATTTCCTCCCATTCTGTAGGTTGCCTGTTCATTCTGATGATAATTTCTTTTGCTGTGCAAAAGTTCTTTAGTTTAATTAGATCGCATTTTTAAATTTTGGCTTTTGTTGCCATTGCTTTTGGTGTTTTAGTCATGAAGTCTTTGCCCATGCCTATGTCCTGAATGGTATGCCTATGTTTTCTTCTAGGGTTTTTATGGTTTTAGGTCTTACATTTAAGTCTTTAATCCATCTTGAGTTAACTTTTGTATAAGGTGTAAGGAAGGGGTCCAGTTTCAGTTTTCTGCATATGACTAGCCAGTTTTCCCAACACCATTTATTAAATAGGGAATCATTTCCCTATTGCTTGTTTTTGTTAAGTTTGTCAATGATCAGATGGTTGTAGATGTGTGGTATTATTTCTGAGGCTTCTATTATGTTCCACTGGTCTATATACCTGTTTTGGTACCCATATCTTGCTGTTTTGATCACCATAGGCTTTTAGTATAGTTTGAAGTCAGGCAGTGTGATGCCGCCAACTTTGTTCTTTTTGCTAGGATTGTCTTGGCAATGCAAGCTCTTTTTTTTGTTTGTTTCATATAAAATTTAAAGTAGTTTTTTTCTAATTCTGTGAAGAAAGTCAATGGTAGCTTGATGGGGATAGCATTGAACCTATAAATTACTGTGGACAATATGGCCATTTTCATGATATTCAGTCTTCCTATACATGGGCATGGAACATTTTTCCATTTGTTTGTGTCCTCTCTTATTTCTTTGAGCAGTGGTTTGTAGTTCTCCTTGAAGAGGTCCTTTGCATCCCTTGTAAATTGTATTCCTAGTTATTTTATTCTTATTCTCTTTGTAGCAATTGTGAATGGGAGTTCACTCATGATTTGCCCGTCAGTCTATTATTGGTGTATAGGAATTGCTTGTGATTTTTGCACATTGATTTTGTATCCTGAGACTTTGCTGAAGTTGCTTACCAGTGTAAGGAGATTTTGGGCTGAGGCAATAGGTTTTTCTAAATATACAATCATGTCATCTGCAAACAGAGACAATTTGACTTCCTCTCTATTTGAATACCTTCATTTCTTTCTCTTGCCTGATTGCCCTGGCCAGAACTTCCAATACTATGTTGAATAGGGGTGGTAAGAGAGGGCATCCTTGCCTTGTGCTAGTTTTCAAAGGGAATACTTCAGCTTTTGCCCATTCGGTATGATACTTTGTGTGGGTATGTCATAAATAGCTCTTATTTGACCTGGTGCTGTGGCTCATGCCTGTAATCCCAGCACTTTGAGAGCTGAGATGGGTGGATCACTAGATCAGGAGATGGAGACCATCTTGACCAACAGGGTGAAACCTGGTCTCTACTAAAATACAAAAAAAAAAAAAATTAGCTGGGCGTGGTGCTGCATGCCTGTAGTCCCAGCTACTCAGGAGGCGGGGGCAGGGGAATTGCTTGAACCTGGGAGGCAGAGATTGAAGTAAGCTGGGATCACACCACTGTATTCCAGCCTGGCAATAGAGCAAGATTCTGTCTCAAATAAATAAATAAATAATAGCTCTTATTATTTTGAGACATGTTCCATCGATACCTAGTCTATTGAGAGTTTTTAGCATGAAGGGGTGTTGAATTTTATCGAAGGCCTTTTCTGCATTGTTATTGAGATAATCATGTGGTTTTTGTCATTGGTACTGTTTATGTGATTGATTACGTTTATTGATTTGCATATGTTGAACCAGCCTTGCATCCCAGGGATGAAGCTGACTCGATTCTAGTGGGTAAGCCTTTTAATGTGCTGCTGGATTTTGTTTGCCAGTATTTTATTGGGGATTTTTGCTTTGATGTTCATCAGGGATACTGGACTGAAATTTCCTTCTTTGTTGTGTCTGCCAGGTTTTGGTATCTAGATGATGCTGGCCTCATAAAATGAGTTAGGGAGAAGTCCCTCTTTTTCTATTGTTTGGAATAGTTTCAGAAGGAATCATACCAGCTCCTCTTTGTACCTCTGGTAGAATTCGGCTGTGAATCTGCCTGATCCTGGGTTTTTTTTTTGGTTGGTAGGCTATTAATTACTGCCTCAATTTCACAACTTGTTACTGGTCTAGTCAGGGATTCAACTTCTTCCTGGTTCAGTCTTGGGGTGGGGTATATGTCCAGGAATTTATTCATTTCTTCTAGATTTTCTAGTTTATTTGCATAGAGGTGTTTATAGTATTCTCTGAGGGTAGTTTGTATTTCTGTGAGAGCAGTGATGATATCCCCTTTATCTTTTTTTATTGTGTCTATTTGATTCTTCTCTCTTTTCTTCTTTATTGGTCTGGCTAGCAGTCTATCTATTTTGTTAATCTTTTAAAAAAGCCAGCTCCAGGATTCACTGATTTTTTTGAAGGTCTTTTCATGTCTCTATCTCCTGCAGTTCTGCTCTGATCTTAGTTATTTCTTGTCTTCTGCTAGATTTTGAATTTGTTTGCTCTTACTTCTCTATTTCTTTTAATTGTGATGTTAGGATGTCAATTTTAGATCTTTCCCACTTTCTCCTGTGGGCATTTAGTGCTATAAATTTCCCTCTAAACACTGCTCTTTAC